GCCCCGACGGCGCGTGCAGGGCCGCGCCCGCCCCGCGCCAACAGGAGCAGCTGCGGGGGTTGAGCAGCGGGGGCGCGGGCCGGGCAGAGGGGGACTCCCACACGGGAAGGCGCCGCTTCTGCTCCCCCGAGTGCAGCGAGCCGCCGCGGGCCCCCAGGCGCAGTGCCCGGGAGTTGCCGTGGGCCGCCCTGCCGGCCGCTCACCTCAGCCCGGGTCTGGTGCCAGCCAGGCGGGTCCTGCTTCCCCAGGAGATCCGAGCCGAGCACCAGGCTGCGGGGCCCAAACGAGGGGAACAGCGCCACGGGGCCGGGCGGCGGGGCGGAGCGCCCCGAGGGAAATCCCTTCAGCGAGGGGGAGGGCAGCCGGAGCCTCCTGCAGCCATCAAGCCGTCCTCATCAATCGCAGCTGTTTCCTAGCCCAGCTCCCGGCCAGCGGCCGCACGTGCCCAGAGCTGCTGTGATCGCGGGGAAGTGCTTGGAGCAGCTGCGCCTCTCCCTCCGCAGGACAGCAGCCAGGCCCCCTCTCCCCGGGATCCGGCACCGGGCCGCAGTCAGCCGCAAGTGGAGGGAAACGGAGCACCCGGGAAACGGAGCCGAGGCTGGCCCCTCTTCCAACCAGGCCCGGCCCCGGCCCCGGCCCCGGGCGCTGTTACGGGCCAGTCCTCGGGCCGGGCCTCCGCGCTGCTCCGCGGGACCGTGCGCGCAGCGCCAGCTCGCAGGGGCGCGGGCACAAGCGGCTCCAGAGAAAAGACCAGGCGCTGTCAAGTCATCGATGTGTTTTATTTGAAAAGAAGAGACCACGAATATCATCATACCATCGACATTCAGAAAGCAAATTCATGACCCATCTCCTGTTGCCAGCCCCCCTCCGCTGTGAACTCGCTTGCCCTCCTTACAAGAAGAAGACACATCTCTGGGCTGGGTTCAAGGTCTCCAAAAAAACAAGCGACCTGAAAAAGAGCAGGTGCTACCTGCACTCGGGGGAGGTTCCCCCACCCCTTCTAGCAGATTATTACCGAGACAAAAACTGTGAATAAATGAAGCAGCTTTGCTTATTATGCTACTAGTAATTTTCCCCCTAGGAGCTAATTAAATCCCTTCCTGGAACCTGGGGTTTAAAAGAGCCACAAGATGTTGCCCGCGTGGCAGCCGGGCGAGCTGAGAGCGGCCGGAGAAGGACGCCGCGCTCCGCCCGGGCCGCTGTGCCCCAGCTGCCCTGCGGACCCGCCAGGCGGGGTTTCTGCCCCCGCTTTAGTGAGCTCTGGGCTTGGTCACGCGCGCCATCCTTCCAGCAACACCAGCCGCCACGTCCTGGAGCGCTGACCCATTCCCGCATTTCCATCTTATAAAGGCTGTAAACACCCTAACCCTGGCGCAACCGACTGCTGCGAGCGGGGCAGGCTACTCCGGCCCTGCTCGAGGGCTGCATGGACGCGCTTTGCTTTCTAGGCGAAGGTGTAAGCCTGGGGCGAGGGCTGCCAGCGGGAGCCGCGTTCATCTCCGCCGGGGCCTCGCCGGGGCCGGCTGCGCCGCGCCAGGCCGGGGACGACTGGCTCGTGTTTCCAACAGGGCGGGACTCACTTGCACCGGGGCCATGTCACGCCGCTCTCGCTTTCCCGCGTCCATTGTCCCGCACCTACGGTCCCGACGGCCAGCAGTCCCGCGCACCTGGTTGTTCCTGCAGCTTCCCCACCTGGTCCTACGCCTGGTAAAGGGCCAATAACTGCATTGAGAAAAACCCTATTTCTGTTTAAAAAAAATAAAAGTCCCATTTAAACTTTATTCAATTAAAGCAAAAATTAATTTCCGATATTCACACATATATTACAGAGTAATAGTAAAAGTTCAATATACTTCCTGGCGTTTAGTCGGGCCACATTGTACAAGAGCAAAACAAGCATCAAAACATTTAGCAGCCTTAAATTTCACAATCACTCAGAATTACATAGAAATATTTAAGTACTCTAGTCAGCCTTGGCTGGGAATAGTTCTTCCGTTTACGTTTGTCAGCCAGGTTACAGCAAGATTTGCATTTTCTCTCTCATCGTGGCACCCACAGATTCAAAAAATACTTCGTTGTTTTTTGTTTTTTGTTTTGCTTTTTTTTTTTTAACTCAGAGCAAGAGTCGCGAGTGACATATTTTAAAAACAAACCCACAAAACGTGGTGAGGGACAATGCAAATACTGAAGGTCGAAGCGGCCTGGAGAACCGGGGGAGGTGGCGGGGGCACGAGGGCCACGTTCAGCTGAACTAATGCGGGGGAGAAAGAGGCGGACACGGCGGTGGGAGCGATTGCAGCGTCTCCTGTCTGTCGGCTGCAACCACGCCAACAAAAAAAAATTCTTCAAAGCAGATGGACACAAACCTAAGCAGGATTTAGCCTCTTTCCTATTTGGCCGTACAAAGTTTGCTGTCCAAGGCTCTTTACACCCAGCTACAATTGGGGGAGGTGTAAGAAATGCTCTGGCTCGCTGCCCGCGCTCTGGCTTGGGGGATCCGTCGTTTAAAGGGGGAACACTAGAAATCCAGAGAAAGTCGAGTACTTCCAGCCGCCCATCAAGTTTCCCCTCTCCAGTTTTAGATAAGCTCTGTCGCCTTTCTCCATTTGAATCAGGACTCCATTGCTGGCAGCTTCTCGGGTCACATCCTGGTCCCCTGCAAAGGCAGAAATCACTGGCCACCCATTTAGCATCAAACTCACCTAAAGAGCAAGACAAAAACAAAGCTCTCGGTCAGTCGGAGTCAGACCCCGGCAGGAGCCAAAGCTGCCCGGCCTCTCCCAGGCTCACCTGGAGGATGAACCGCCGGGCTGGGGGGAGGGGGGGAGGCTGGGTCATTTGGGCGCAGGAAGCGTTGAGCAGCGGCCTGGGAGGCTGACACCAGCGAGGGGCATGGGCTAGAGGCAGGAAATCTTTCAGTGAAGCCTGCGATTGACAGCGCCAGCAAAACGCAGGCTGCGAGTGACAGGGGAGGTCGATCCTGTTCTAAGGGCGGAGAAAGAGCCGCTGCCCGCGAGCCGGCTGCATGGAGAGGGGTCGCCGCTGCAGACACAGGCGGGGGGTTGAAGTGTCAGCCAGCACAGACAATGTGCCCTGCGCCCGGGCTCCCCCCACCCCCGCTGGGCACCTCCCGGGGAAACGCAGCGCTGCCGCCCTCCTCTCCGCGGGCTCCTCCCTGCCTGGCCCCGGCGCGGACTGCAGGTCCCACCAGTGCCGTCCACCGGCCAGGCGGGCACAGGCCCGACGGGGCGGTGCCCCCTGATGCCCGGCAGGTCGCCTGCCCAGCGGCGCAAAGGCGGCCGTGAGGGGGCAGAGCCAGACACGAGGCGCCGGCCCCGCCGGCCCGGGCGTCGGGGCTTGACACCGCAGTCCTCACACCGCGGCCAAGCCTCCGGCCGCCGGGAAACGGGACCCGCCCGACCCCAGGCCCAGGCGTCCGGGGGGGGAGCAGGGAAGCTGCCGCGGGCGCGCGGGGCTCCCGGGGAGGCCTCGTGGGGCGGGTGCCCCGGATCCCAGGCGACTGGACGCAGGGAGGCGCCACGGGCCGAGCTCGGCTCCTTCCCCGCGCAAGTCTGGCGCCTTCGGCACCGGGCGGCCCCCCGGGGCCGGGCTGACCTGGATGGTTTGCCGGTTGTAGACCTTCACCACGTGGAAGTTAAAGCTGTAAATCCCCTTCCGCGGCGCGATGAACGTGCTCCGCTCCGAGTCGAAGTTGCTGCCGATATTCACTAGTACCTGCAAGGACAAGGGGCGTCAGGGCAGCGCGGCGCGGCGCGGCGCGGCCCG